TTGGAGAAATTTAGGATTATATCACTTTCTAACCAATTGATCCTCTACAGTGAATGGGTGCCGTCAGAATGAGAGTCCAAACAGCTGATAAAAGCATCACAATAATCCACAAGTAATCCACACAACTCCGGGTCCAACAATTAACATCTCATGAAGAGATGAAAGTCGGGAGAGAAACGTGCTCAGATAATGCACAGTTTATAAGACCAAATAGTTCGGAACAATTCTGAATATGTTGGTGGATTTTAATGCGAAAGGACAACAGAGAAAGGACTTTTTCACTGGAGAAAGCGTTCTTATGGATTAAGGACTTGCAATTTGGCCAGAAGCGACGGTTTAAAGTTAAAACTTTAGTTTCTTACAAACACACAGCTTTTCACTTCACAAGCTGTTAATTGATGGACTGGAGTGGTGTGGATTATTGTGATGTTTTTATCAGCTGTTTGGACTCTCATTCTGACGGCACCCATTCACTGCAGAGGATCCACTGGTGAGCAAGTGATGGAATGCTAAATTATTCCAAATCTGTTGTGATGAAAAAATAAAATCATCTACATCTTTGATGGCCTGAGGGCAAGTAAATTTTCAGCAACTTTTTATTTTTTGTTAATTTCTTACATTGAGCTCTGTAGAAACTCCCCTGTCTGTCTCTTTTAGAGAGCTCCACGGGAACTGCCCGGTGACTTTGTACAGGTTTAGAGCGAAGCTACGCAAAGCAAAGACGTCAAGTTGTTAAATATCTATTCAGCATCACTGTTATGTTTATAGTTAAAACTGAAGGGTGTAATTGCATTTTAACATTGAAAAAGATTACACACTTCACCTTTAAAGTTTAATTTTGTTTGCAGAAATCATACTTGCGCTCATAAAATCCCAACTGTGGTTTAAAGAAGGAGAGGCCGTATGACGTCTCCTTAGTTCCATAGGAAAACTGAAAGGTGAGCTTCTCTCCTCGGCCTAACATGTTTGGAAGTTTAATGCCCAAGACCTTGAGAGGAACAAACACACAACTGCAGTAACACATATTGACACATTATGTAGAAACTACACAGAAAAAGTGAGAGTTGGTGATAATAAAACAATACTCCATACTGACTGAAAATGTTATTATAAATATTATTCATATTGTTATTATTATGATACATATTAAATATTCTATTATATTCGTTTTATTTTTTATAGTCTGAATGGAGATCTCATTTGAGAGTAACTGTGTCTTAACCAGAGCTGTTTTAGTATTATTTATATATACTATTATATTACTATTTTTACATATTTTAAATGAGCTTTTATTCTTATATGTGACCCTAGACCACAAAACCAGTCATAAGTAGCACGGGTATATTTGTAGCACTAGCCACCGATACATTGTATGGGTCAAAATTATCGATTTTTCTTTTATGCCAAAAATCATTAGGATATTAAGTAAACATCATGTTCCATGAAGATATTTTGTAAATTTCCTACCGTAAATATATCATAAGTTAAATTTTGATTAGTATGCATTGCTAAGAACTTAATTTGGACAACTTTAAAAGTGATTTTCTCAATATTTTGATTTTTTTGCACCCTCAGATTCCAGATTTTCAAATAGTTGTATCTCGGCCAAATATTGTCCTATCCTAACAAACCATACATCAGTGGGAAGCTTATTTATTCAGCCTTCAGATGATGTATAAATCTCAATTTAGAAAAATTGACCCTTATGACTGGTTTTGTGGTCCAGGGTCAAATATTTACAGCTTTCATTTTTATTTTATCATGTAATAATTTATAAATTATTTTAGTTAGTTGGCAAGGCAACATGGCAAGGGTAGGATGCAAAGCAATATATGTGTGTATTATGGTTCTTACCATACTGCCTTCATTGTTTCCAACCATGGTATTATAACTGCCAGTAAGTCGTTTAAGCTCAGTCACCTCAAATGTAACATCGAGTCCATTTGGCAGCGCGTCTGCTCCTAAAGAGGAGATCAAAAAGACATTGTACAAACAACACCATAGCTGAATGTTAAGGCATAGTGGACTCCTCTATGAAGTTAATAGAAAAATCCTGCAAATATATTTATTATAAAGCCAGGTTGAATTTCTAAACTTGTCTCTCCTACAGTATATGCTACAGATCTAATACTGACAATAAAAAGGCTGACCTTTAGACCTATTGCTCTTCTTTATGAGTATGTAAATGAACTGTTTAGTATGTTAGTATGTTGAAAGTCAGGGCTAGACAGCCTCTCTGAGGGGAATGCAACAGCTCAGTCCAGAAAAACTGGACACTTTCCACTGAACGGTCTATAACTGAATCAAGCATGAAGATGTTTTGGATGTAGTACCTTCTGAAATGTCAATCACCACCTCCACTTCTTTGAATATGCCTAGACGGAGCAACCTCTGTCTGGCCTCGTGGGATTTTCTCATCACCTGTGGAAACACTGAGCTTGTTACCTCATTTCATAATTAGTGATCGAGCAATATGTTTTTTTTTTGGAATGGCTGATATCTATGGCCAATATAATGCTGATATGTTTCATACAATTTAATGACAGACGTAATATGTGTTTATTAAGTGTTTTACATTTACATTTAGCAGATACATTTATTTATAGGGAAGTTATATCCAAACTGTGTCCAAATTATAAAATGTCAGAAAATGTGCAATATCCATTGAGAAGGCAGTCGCAAAATTTACGAGATGGAATAAACCCTTCTGTTAATCGGCTGAACTGGACGATTTGGGTCTATCACCACTCATAATAACTTAACCAGTCCTAACAAACACTTTGACCTTGACAGCTCACTTACTTCAACCAGGTTTCTGGCAGTGAAGACATCAGAGATTTCATAGCCCAAGTAATCCTCTTTAGTTCTGCCCAGCCCTTCAATGTTGACATGCTCTACAACAACCTAAATGAGAACAGTCAGAGATGTCATAGTGTGAGACTGCAGGTTTTGGACATGGTACCACAGTAATACCATGTTTTTGGACATGTACTGTACCATAGTATTATTGGAAGTACTTGATACAAATACATGAATTTCAGTACTACCGTATACTGGAAAATACTATGGTAGTATTACCATCAGATACTGTCGATGTTTTATTGTACTTTTCCTTAGGTTGGTATAGTCTGATATGAAAAGTGGTATATTCATGTTGACCAAATTTATGCACCATGACATCTAACATGGTATAACCATGGTACATATCCAAAAAAGCATGACAGCTCAATTTTATCAGTATAAAAGATTTTAAAAAGAACTTAGTACGAGTTTAACATAACTTACATTTTTATTTTCTAAAACCTCTTGTTTAGTTTCTTGCACCGCCTCCATCACTTCCAGATCATCTGGGTTAACGCCCAAGTCTCGCCCATGCATGGGGTAAGAATCCATACTCTACAAAACAAACATGACCAGTTTTGTTTTTTGCACACATATACAGCCATATCCAGTGGCACTTGCACAAAGACGCATTAGATAGCTTTCTGTAACAATACAATAACACGCAAGGCACAGACAAAACAAGCATATTTCACCCCGAGTCTTTAGGAAAACATTTACCCGTGCGTGCACAGTCCCCATTGCTAGTGCAATAATATCCTAATCGTATTGAGGCCGCTCAGCTGATCGTGGGAATGTAAAATATCGCACTACAATGAAGCAGTGAACCCAACCCCCTTCAAGGAGGACGCCATGACACGCAACTGCTAGGCGAACCTGGACGGCGATTGGCTAGAATGATTTGACGTCGTGCATAGTGGGCGTGTCCTTGTTCTGTGCGCCGCTTACGTGCCTTATTTTCGAGTTTGTTTAGAGTCTCTTGCATGTAAACAGAAAAGGACATGTTCAAATTTAAGGAGTATGTATGGAGTGCGTCTTTCAGACCCTCAGAGAGAGACAGTTAGAAGGAGTAACGTTACGACTGTTTGTTTTGTCTGTTTTGTGAACTTACTATCAAAGACAGGTGTTTTGCTGATAATACGTAAAAAAAAATTCGTTTTGGTGTAGCGTTAACTTACTCGGGTCACGTAACAGTTACAAACTATTATTTCTTACTTATTACCAGGTTTTTGGGATATGTTCTGTGATACTTTTTTAGTGTCCTACCTTGATATAGCCTACCAAAGTATATGAATATGCAAATCATTCGGTACCGTGGTATTTGCAGGGATTTTATGGTCATGGAAAAAACGAAAATATCACGGATTTAAATTTGTGATTTACAGGCCTGGACAAATAATGTAATTAGTCTAATCTTATCTTTAAACAATAATCTAATCATTGGTACAATCTTTCAAAGTGACAGAAATTAGGAAATATTTGTTTTAGTTTTTCTATTAACTCTAGAAATTGCTCTTTTTTTAATGCAAAATGCAGTCTCTATACAATTATATTTTAAAACCGTTATCCATTATTACATTACAAGGCACAGTGCTTTTTGTAATGATGTCCTTCCATTTCTCCGGGAGAGGGCAGTATAACCTCTTTAGTGTTTGGCATTTTTATTGATTAACATGACTTTTAACAAGTCGCTGCTTTTACAGAAGCAAAGTTGGGAGAATCTTTCTTGTTGAGCTAAAAACTACAACTTTTATCATGTTATGATGATTAGATTAATCCAAACTGAGAAGCACTTCCAGTTTTTTTTTAAATGTCAATCCAACATTTTATTGCAAACGATTCCTGGGGAATGCTATAGATATCAGGAACGTTTGTATTTACTGTTACACATTATTGGTTCACTCAGTTTGACAGCAAGCTGTCAGTCACAGACGCGCAATTTAAACATGTAATTTTACTCTTGACAGGAATGGAACACACCAAAGCAGAACTGAATTATTGCCAAATCTAGATTTTACATAATGACATCATGTGTGTGTATAAAGTTATGTATTTCCTTAATATAGACTACTTATTTATGTTTTTAACCTTTTTATTGCTTAATGTTTATTGTTCTTTTTCTATACGCTACCTATCTATCTATCCATCTATCTATCTAGGCACTCTCTCTTTCTCTCTCTCTCTCTCTGCCCCCTTCCTTCCACCTCCCATCTCCTCCTCAAATGTGCGCAAACCAATCAGCAGGCGTCTCGGGGCTCGGGCTCTTGTGCTCTTTCTGCCAGCAGCAGCAGAAACGCTTCTTATCAAAGAAACGCACAACTGGAGAAGTCCATTCACTCACAGCCTCTAACCATGGGTCCTGCCTGCTTCTCTTGGGACGTCTGTTTGTTTTTCCTCCTCATAAATACTTTAGATGTCATGGGAAATGTTGGAGTCGCAGGTAAGTGTTCCCTGTACCTTTCACATCATTTATTTGGTGAAACTTTTAATACCTGAAATAGGATATAAGTCAGTGGTTGCATGATTTTGCACATGAATTCCATGTAATTGCATTACATTCTGTAGCCTATTATTAAACCTGAAATTGCATTCATTTAGAATAATCATTTAGTCATACTTTGTTTAAAATGTTGCCCTCTCATTACCGCATAAGGTAGGCTATATGCGTATTTGAACGCGTCTGTATTGTTTTACGCGTGATATTCCGTAAGGAGAGCTTTTGCCGGGGTCTCTTCGGGCTCCCTTGGGGTCTATATGAACATGAGCCGCCCTGATGGGGTTGGTTCGGGGGGCTTATCGACTCCTCACTCCTCCACTACCATCAATACGCATTGTGTCTCTCCATAATGAATGCCTTGAAAAGTCAATAATGAGACAAACGATAAAAACAGATCGTCGGTTCTTTTTAACCACGACACTACTGAAGATTTAATGGTGTTTTATATTTTCATCTGTGTATTTTAGGTCGAACGCATGCTTTTTCAAATAAACACAGAGATGAATAGCCCAACTCATCTCCAAATGAGTTTATCGATTGCGCATAGTAGACTTTTGGCTTTTTATGTTTTGAAGCTTTTCAAATAGACATTATTTTATGACATTAAGTTCTGAAATGCACAAACAGTACTCTGATTTTCTTTCTCCGTGTATGGGTTAGATGTTGTATAAAAAAGAGCGCAACGTTGCGCAAAAGGTGCTCCGTTTGCGTAAAGTTTAAAGAAACACTCGATTTAGCCCATACAAATGATAAAAAGCCAGAGGAGAGGTTGAGGGGCCAGTGGTGTGGTACTGGTAAGGCTACACATCAATATCCAACCAAACCACCTCATTTACCTCTTCAAAAAGACCCTTTCTCCTAAATGAGCTTTCCAGGAGTCTGCTTATTTATTCATTCACTTCTGTATTTGGAGCTTGAATGAGCATCATTCCTGCTTTTTAGGTGAATCAATATATCACTTTATTGGACACTCTATTGGTTTTTCTTGGCTGAAAAGCTAAACGTCTTCTTTCTGCTTTTGTCCTGTCTGAGTAGATTTGGTCATTTTTGTTCTGTTCTGTTTTCTTCAGCTTCACCTGTCTAAACCAGCAATAAGATCCTCATAAGAAAAAGCCAACTGCTCTCAGATCAGTGACAAAGAGTAAAGTACCACACCCCAAACCCCCTGTCAGAGACACGTAAAAACATTGATTTTTCTTGAAAGACAATGTTTTTTTAATTCAATTTGACTAGTTTGTCTTTAGATTGATGTGCTACACTTGGATGGATTTAGGTGTTTCTGGAACTCATTCTTGCTCTTCTGTTTGAACGTGTTCGGTTTGTAAAAGATGGCGATGAACAAAAAGATTTAAAAGCTTATCGCATTTAAAAAGAAAGGTTGTAATGTTTTTAGAAACTGACATTTAGCTCATATCTTTCTTACTCACTCAGCTGCCTGGAAATGTTCAGTTATCTATTACAGTGTTTCCCAACTGGGGTGCCGCGGCACCCTGGGGTGCCGTCTGTCGAGAGCAGGGGTGCCGTGTAAAAAAATCCTTTTTTAATATTTTTAAATTGCTAAAATTTAAAAAAAGGTTGGGAAACACTGATCTATTAGACCAAAAAAGTGGCACTTTCTGTCTAATGTGACACTATAATCTTTCCAGATCTGGGATGTGTAACAATTGCATTTAGCTAAATCTTTGCCCATGTGATTACTCCACAGATGCCGACGAGTGCTCCGAATCCACAGACGACTGTCACATCGATGCTCTCTGCCAAAACACTCCAAAGTCCTTCAAGTGCATCTGCAAGACTGGTTACAAGGGAGATGGCAAGCACTGCGAGGGTGAGACAGACAGATCTCTCTCCCTCTCTTTCGCTCATTCCGTCCCTGTCCGCCTGTCTCTCACACACACTCTCAGTCAGGTCATCCAGCTGTTCTCTAGCTCCTGCTGTGGGTCTTAATTAGTGAGGAGGAAGTGCAATGTGAGGGTGAGAGGTGCTGGGAGGGCAAAACCTGCTCCAGTCTTTACACTTCCCTCTCCCATTCTGCTTGAGAGCACAGCACAGCTGGAGCCAACATATACACGATCAGAGCGGATCACACTCACACACTCACTGAAACACTCACACAGATCTATTAAGCAGGTAGTGGACATGCATACTCTGATAAATGTTGGAAGAAAGTGCTGAAAAGATCTATACCTGTGCTCATATTTGCCAAGATGCCAATCTCAGAGATCTCAGCTGTTTTCTTTATGTATGACCATTGTCTCAGATGCTAAAACACCTTAATTGCAGAACTATATTGACTATAAATTAGAAAAGATCACAAATAAAATCTCCTTAACACAATTGTTCACGCAAACATAAAAATTTGCTGAGAATGTACTCACAAAAAATGATATACAGTATGTATATTTCTAATCTATTTTTTTTCATTAGAAATTATATGTTGCATTATGTTACAAAAATTGATATACAATATGCATTTTTCTGATTTAAAATTTTTCTTTAAAAAGTATAGATTGGTGTTATTAAATAAAAAGTTGACATACAATATGTGTTTTCTCTAAATTAATATTTTTGCCATTGTATTACAACAATTGAAACTGAATATTCATTTAGTTATTTATTGGTGGTGTGTTACAAAAGTTGATATACAGTATGCATTTTTGTCTTTTTCATTACAAATTATATATTGTCATTATATTAAAATGTACATAAATATGCACATTTCTAAAGCAATATTTTTCATTTCAAAATGTATTGTCAGCATGAAAATTCTATTTAACCATTATTTTAAAATGAATATTTTCTCTATTTTAAACTCAATTATACAATATATCATTCAATATAAATCATTATATTTTGTACTTTATTCCATAATTTAGTACTCATAATTTCACAGTTTTGTTTCCTGGCTGAGCAGGTACATGAATAACAATTATTGATAATTGCTAGAAAAATTGCATAAGTGATGTAATTTTGCCATTTCAATAATATTACCTAAATCAGAATTTGTTTTATAGACCCAGGTTAAGTGAGCCCAGGAAAAATTTGTATTCATCCAGTTGTTCATACAGCTGGTGCGATTGATGGTACGAGCTACATGGGCGTAAATGAGTTTGTGAGTATCAGAGAGGTGGACTGAATATGATGGACACGTTTACAGCAGACAAACAGTCATGTTACTCTCTCTCTCTCTGCTGTTTCCTATTGTACTCTGCATTCTTCATCTGTGGATTCTAGATTGTTCATTTTGCATCTCGCTCCCCGTTTCACTCACATGTGTGGAGCTTGTGTTTCAGGAAAAGCATGAAATGTGCTCTCTACCTATTATGACACCCGACACCCATTCTCAATTGCATTAATGAATTATAGGTGGATGTGAAACGGCATTGCACCAGACTGCTCCACAGTTAGCGCTTAATACTCCTGTCTGAGGCCAGACAGCGTGGGCTAGAACAACATATTTTTATTTCTCTAAGGAAACATTGGGGATGTTCTGGACCTTACAGAAGCCTTTTCCTCCCACCTTTAAACCGCAGTCTACGGTTGCAGGGCAATGAGGCTGTCAGTTACACTGAATCCAACCGGGCCGCTTTGCTTTTAGCATGTTAACTATGCGTGCATGTGTGCGTCTCCTCTCTCTTTTGGCTCTTATGCTGTCTGAGCGGACATTCCGTCCAC